ATATATTTAAGGAATTTTGATTCATGTAAGTTAAACTTAGTGTGGATATGTGCATAATTCAGTAATGGCAATGTCTTCTTCAAAAGGTGATGTTTAAAGAACTTCATTAGCCTTTAATGTGTTTACATGATTATATTCAAACCTTATGGGTCTTGTAGCCTATTAACTAATGCCTGTTAGGTAGCAGAGCGGGGGCGCCAGAAGCAAACATATTTCAAAAGTTATACGTTATAAATGAATTAATCGGGTGCTGTATTGAATTCAGAGTTTCATTTTTCTGTATTTCATTGCACTGAAAGAAGATATCACGCTTTCAAAATCAACAGCGGTTGCCAAATCTCTCTCGATATTCAGAACGGCCAGACCGGCGAGACGCTCCTGCCTCTTTGTTCGAAGATAGTTCTTTATTCTCTTCAAGTGACAAAATGTTCTTTCTGCCTTCGCACTGGCAGGGTGAGAATGGTACAGTGCTGCCGTATTTGGAAAGGCTGTTGTCATCCCATTCTCCATCATGAAATGAAGAATGCCACGTGGATGTTGTACCAAGCTATCATCCTTGAGTATGTCTCGGAGGGTATCGAAGAATATATGGAATTACTGCAGAACATGCTCAGGTTCAGGTTTGCACTAATCATTTTCGTACTGACGAACCAAAGAAGAAATCAAGTCGTCAACGTCTCCACCATTGAAAACCTTTGTGGCCTGAGACAGTCAAATTTGCTCACAATCTCGAAAAAGTCAGAGAATCTTGTGGTCATCTGGTGAATTAAGATGTCTAGGATGAAGAAGTAAACTTTGATGCGGAACCAGTCTTTTTGATCCTGGATAGGCTCATCCGGTGCAACTTCCCCTGGCATTTTCTTCCGGTGGCCGCTTCTTCTGACCTTGAAATTTTGTTCTTTCCCGTAATCTTCTGCCATTTGCTTTGCTTCTGACAGGAATTTATTGTAGATAGCATCTGATCTCATTTCTTTGAGAGCTGTGATCGTAGCTTTTATCAAGCTGCAAGGCATGATGAGGTCAGTATCAGAACGCTGGCAGTTATTTGAAAGGGTGAAGAAGTTCTTCAGGATATCATGGCAAAATATCATCATGAACAAGAATTCAAGGCTCTCTAAATTTGCGAGCAAACCCACTGCCTCAGTCCTTGCTGTGTCCTTCTGTTTGCTCCCCTCTTCTATTCCTCAAGGGCAGCGCAAACAGCGGCGAAGTTTACCTTTAGTGACTTCACAGCATCATGGCGGCATGCCCAGCGGGTCTCTGAAAGACGCTTTATCGACAGAATAACTTCAGAGAGCTCTTTCTGTTTTTCCTGGAAGAAAAGATGTGGAAGACTTCCAGTGAGAAATGTGCACAGCTTCTCAATAGTTCCGAAAAACAACTGACAGCAGGGATTCATTCATTTCATTCATTCATATCCGCAGAACCCACGAGGACCAAATTCAGATTGTGGGCACTGCAATGGACATAAATAGCTGACGGAGAGTGCTTCTTGATTCGAGACTGGAGACCGGATACATGCCCAGCCATGTTTCTGGCGCCGTCGTATGCCTGACCACGGCATAGAGAAATATCTACGTCAATGCTTTGAAGAACCTCACAGATACTCTTTTCAATGGACTCGGATGTTGATCATGTTCAGATCGCAAAAGGTTATGAACCTTTCGGTGATCCCGCCGGAATTCGTCACATATCGAACCGAGACAGAAAGTTCGTCGCTGTGCGAAATGTCAATTGTGGAGTCTACAATTATTGAGAACTTCGCTTCTCTGACTTCCTCAGAAATCCTATTTTTTACTTCACTTGAAAGGGCACAAATAAAATCATTCTGAATCATCGGACTCAAGTACATAGATTTGGAAGGCTTCTGATGCACAGTCTCCAGGTGATTTTGAAAGAGCGGATCATACTTCGCAAGAAGCTTCAGTAGCTCAAGGAAATTACCTTCATTTGAATCGTTATCTCCTCGACAACTGTGTTCACAATGACCACGCAAAGCCAACCCTTGCTTGGAAAGAAAAAGTATTTCGTCCAAAATTCGCCTCAGAAACTCCCGATTCCTTTGCGTCTGCTGTTTTTATACTTCAATCAGTCCTGTCGCTACAGTGTGATCCCTGGAAACCCTGTATTTCGTAAGCATTAACATGTCGACTGCTATCATGTGTTGGACGGTCATTTCATGCTTTTCAATTTTCTCCAGTCCCTTCTTCGAAGCGGGAACGCCAAAGATGGACTCACTCCCCCGGGGATTGTAAGATTGCTCACTTTTATTTGCAAATAACCAACATCCATGACAAAAATTTATTGTTTTGAGGGAGAATAGACGAGCCAAGGGAGGGAGAATATAAATTTCTTTCCTCCTTTGCGCCATGTGGAAGTTTCTTGTAATACCAGCTGGTCTGGAATCGTCTTCCGTTATGATCAACCTGAAAATCTCTGTAATCATCGCTCAAACCGGACTGGCACGGACCATGTTGCAGGATTTGACGTGCTAATTTTGGACCAATGCTGCATTCTTGAAACAATCCTGGGTCAGTTGGATATGCCAGGGTAAAATCCAAAGCGTCTCCTAGTGGCTCCTTCTACATTACCTGGAGTCCCATCAGCTACCTACATCTGGCATGCTACCAGATCCACATGCTGGGTATCTTCAAGGGATTCTGATTCCATTCCAACGATCTCATGTCCTCCAGCCTCCATTACCGCTTTTGCATCGCATTTTTGCACAATCAATCTGATTCTCAATGGCAATAGGGAGTTTTGGCTACCCGTTCTTGAGAGGACAGCAAGGGATGTAGGGCGGTTGACGTCACTGGTGACGTCACCAGCAGTTTTAAAACGCGTGAGAAAGACGTCTAGGACGTGGAGGCTCTTCCAGCCGTTCTCCCAGGAACATGATCGCGACGCAAGATCCCCCAATCAGGAACGACTTGATAGGCACGTGAGCTTCGGTACAACGCGTGATGGTCGGGTGATTCGTTTAAGTCAGTCATCCAGGAAGGAAAGCTACCATTGATGGCGGAGCAGCTGAAATTCAAGGTACAGTATGCCCAGGTTGGGTTTCTAGACAATT